GCCACATGCTTGGCCTAGGCATTTACATTCGTAAGAATTCACCCATTTGTAGGGAAACTAGGTTTGAATCCACAGATTACTCTTTTATGTGCTTTCGTTTAGCACCACTTCACTCTATCACCTTTCTCTTTGTTCTATATCGTTCTCCCTCATCTCAAGACTGCACTCTTCTTGATTTTATTTCTGATCATATTGACCAAGCCCTTTCTATTTATCCATCAGCCAATATTGTTGTTGTCGGTGACTTTAATTCTCATCACACTGAATGGTTTGGCTCTAGTGTCAGTGACTCTGCAGGTATTAAAGCCCACAACTTTTGCCTTTCTCAATCCCTAACTCAAATAGTCAACTTTCCAACTAGCTTTCCAAACAACCCGAATCATTTACCTTCTCTACTCGACTTTTGTTTTGTTTCTGATCCTAGTTTTTTGTTTTGTTTCTGATCCTAGTCAGTGCTCAGTTTCTCAACATTCACCCTTAAGTATTTCTGATCACAGTTTGATCTCTCTAAAACTATTATCTCATTCTTCTTCATCATCTGAATCCCCCTATCATCGCACCTCTTACAACTACTTTAAAGCTGAATTGGACTCTTTCCATGATTTTCTTCATGATGGCCTTTGGGTAGAAATCTTTTGTCTTCCTGCTGACAAATGTGTTTCTTACACAACTTTATGAATTCAGGCTGGCATGGCTTCCTCACATTGTGCTGCTGCAATTTTTAATCAAAATCATGTGTTTATTACTGCTAGAAACAATTGTAAAAAGGTTTTGTGTAATGCCAAAGCCTGCTATTCTCAGGTCATAAAATCTCATGCTTCACCCCAAAAATTACGCTTTCGTGAATTCTGGAGGATCTTTAATAGTATCAATAATAAGGGCAAATCTGTTATTCCACCTCTCTTGTATGGCTCAAACTTTGTCACTTCACTTAAACACAAAGCTAAATTGTTTGCTGAGAACTTTTCATCAATATCATCTCTTGATTCCACTAATCTGATCTCTTGATTCCACTCTATCTATTCGCATTCTATCTGATTTAGCCGTCAAACAGGTTGATCCATTCCTTGACATTCGCATCACTCTAGCTTCTGTATTTCCTGCTTAGACTCTTTTACAGCTTGTGGTCCAAACAACATACTTGTTAAAGTTTTGCAAAAGTTTTCGTCTATACTTTCTAAACTATTTAACAAGTGCTTATCAGAATCTTGTTTTCCAGTCTGCTGGAAAGAGGCATCTGTTATCCCTATTTTCAAAAACTTTAGAGAGCGATCTGACTTATCTAACTACTGTCCCATCAGTCTTCTTATCGTAAGCAAAGTTTTTGAGTCTTTAATTAACAAACACTTTTAGATGTTTGTTAATTAAAGACTCAAAAACTTTGAGAGACTTAAAAACTCAAAAGAAAGACTCAAAAACTTAGAGAGGTTAAAACCTCTTATCTTGAATCTAATAACTTACTGATCAGCAATATGGATTTCGATCTTCTCATTCTACAGCTGATTTGCTAACAGTAATAACCGATAGGTTTTATTGTGCATTAGATAAAGGTGGAGAGGTTAAGGCCATCACTTTTGACATTTCTAAAGCATTTGATAAAGTTTGGTATGCTGGTCTTCTCTATAAGCTTTCTTTTTATGGTATATCTGGCAACATCTTTAAAATTATTGAATCCTTTCTTTCCGATCGTAGTATAGAATTTGCCCTCAATGGATAGCACTCTTCATATTCTGTAACTTCAGAAGTTTCTCAAGGTTCAATCTTTGGCCCCATACTCTTTTTAATTTACATTAACGTTCTTTCAGATAATCTCACATCTATGGTGGCGTATTTGCTGATGATACTACCATTTATTCTTGTAGCCAACACTCTCTGATTGCTTGGAGGGGGCATTTGAGCTTGAAAAGGATTTCACTTCTCAATTTTTTCAGCCAATCATTGTCACAATAATTTAGATCTTGAGTGATCTATCCTTCATCTTTTAAGATTAACTTTGATTTCTGATCTTTCTTGGAAACCATAAATCAAATCCATTGCAAAACTAGCATCTGCTAAGGATGCATCTCTTTATCGAGCTTGAAGCATTCTCACTCCGGATTCTATTCTCTATCTCTATAAATCTCAAATCCGGCCTTATATGGAATATTGTTGCCATATCTGGGGTGGATCTTCTAATGATGCCCTTTCTCTTATAGACAAGGTGCAAAAACGTATTGTAAACATAGTTGGACATGCTCTTGCAGCCAACCTCCAACAATTATCACATCGTCGTAATGTTGCCTCTCTTTCTCTTTTCTACAAATCTTATAATGGGCATCGCTCTAAAGAGCTAGCGCCTCTTGTGCTATCAACTAAAATTCATTCTCTTGTTACTCATCATTCAATTGAGTCTCATACTTTTTCTATGACTGTTCCTAAATGCTCTAAAAACTCTTATTCCTCTAGTTTTTTTCCTCGAACATCAGTTCTTTGGAATTCGCTTCCTTCGTCTTGCTTTCCTGATTCTTAGTCTTTTAAGTCACCTGTCAATTGTTACCTTGCTCTACAATCTTCATCTTTTCTTTTCCAGTAACTTCCAACTCTAATAGTGGTTGCTTGCAGCCTTGTTGGCATCAGAAATTAAAGATATTAAAAAAAAAAGAAAAAAAAAAGATTTATATTTGGACCATCCATTGATATTTGGTATAGTTCTTTTATTTCCAAACTTTCAACAATATTCTTGAAAAGGGTCAATAAGTCTTGGTGCGTAGTATGACCTAAGAAACTTGATCCACAATAACGGACAAAAGGAGCAAATCTTTATATGATCTGTCAAGGCAGAACACCCACTTAAAGAGAGTTCTATTGACGTGTGGTAAACTAAACATCTTGTTTTAGTATCATCTTTAAGATCTGTCTTTAGCCAATCTTTAAAGTTATTATTGCTCAACCAGTCATCTTTAAATCTTTTTTGATGCTTTACTTTTTTAACTAATTTTATACTTATTTCAACTAAAATAACAATACTAACTTAAATTAAAAATATAAAACTTTAAAAGGAATAAATATTTTTATATACTCCGTTGGTACCTTTTTAAACTCCCTGAATTAATTCCTACTCTGCTAAACAGCCAACATTATATCTTATTTCTCCTCTTTATTGTGAACAGAATTAACAAACTCTGGCACAAGCTTAACTGCCTATTTAGAGCATTTGTTAACTAGATATAGTGAACAATTTCAATGAAAGTTTTAAATTAGTCAAAAGTAAATGAAGGAAAATTTAGATAAGGTTTATAATTGTATTTACTCAAATTTAACAGACAAAAATAACACAACAGACAGAAACAAACCACGAGTTCTTAACAACCAACTGTGACAAGCTAGGCAGTTTCTCCTGGGTGAAGTCTAGATCTTTTAGAAGGAGTGGATTTTCAGACATCTCATAGTGTGTAGGAATAGGTTGTGAGAAAATAACTTTTTTTTATCTTTTTCTTTCTCATCATCTTCAAGTTCTTTATCTGTGAGACATAATGGAATCAAGGTTTGATCCAAATATCATGTATGACTCTCAATTGATTTCAATATTACTTCTATTCCCTCTAGTACATCATTAGCTCCTAGATCATAAGATTCTAACCAATTTTTATACTGGACCATATGGCAGTATGCATAATACAATATAGACTCTATCTATAAAACAATATAGACTTAAAAGAGTTATAGACTTGCCATAAAACCTGAAAATTAATCCTGCAGCATAAACATTAAAGCTTATATTTGGAGATAAGTAGGTGAGTTTTACTTGTTCTTTATAATTATGTCTTGGAAATACTAAATTGGCAAGTGCATGTTCAATTTGCAAAATTGAACAGTTTCTTCTATCAGTTTGATCCTTTTGTTGCTCAGCAAATGCTTAATATTGCAATCTTCTTTCTTCTATCTTATTTCATATTTCAGCAATATGCCAAATAATTTGAACCAAATATCATTTTACTTTTTCGTCAATTTAGCCACATTGTGCAGAAAGCTACTAACCTACTCTTATTTGGTTCTAAGATAAATTAGTTAGAAACTTATTTTGATTTTTTCAAAATTCTGCATTTGAAATAAGATCTTAAATAAAGTTGTTACTCAATTATTGAGGAACATTATTGAAGATTTTATTACAAACTTTTTTAAACTCAATGTAACTCAATAAAAATTATGAAAAGGTCGTGGTTTATGGAGGCTTTCATACATAAGGCTTCCATATAACAGGCTTGCATCTTCTAATTAGTATGTTTTTCAATCTCTGCTTAAGGTACAGTTACTTACCATACAAATTCTATGAACCCTACATTATTTATTTAGTGATGTACTAAGTGGCCAACCTAACACTGAGGTAAACAATTACAGAGCTTTTGTAGTAGCCCCAACTTTTTCAAAAATATTTGCAGAAAACAAATATACCAACCTAGAACATTATCAGTTTAATTTTGTGCATATATTTTTACAATTTTATAAGTATAACAAACATTTTTTGAATATAAAAAGTACAAAAATATTTTTTTAATATAAAAGCTATTGTAGTGTCATTTGCATGAACTAGGAACTGCAGTTATTAAAAATAACTTTGTCTGTAGGCTCAGTTTAAAAAAAATGCTTGTTAAATGTGTTTAGAGAAACATCACAACTAATTTGATTAAGAAAACAATAATATTTTGTTATTAAAATTATTAATATATTATTAACACTTGATTATGTCTGTTCAAAACCAAACACTAAAGTGTAAATACTGAAAAAAAAACATGTATGTTATAATTAAATTAATTCAATAAAAAAAAGCATACTTATACATTTTAAAACTACTTTCACAAGTAACAGTCTATATAATTAAAAAATTAACATATATGCAAATACATAACAACAACAAAAACATAATAAAATAAATATAATAATTTCTTTTCAACAAATTTTTCTAAAAACCTTTATATAAAACGTAAAAAAAAAAAAAATAATAATAATAATAAACCACATACTCTATGTACATTTTGTAAAACTTCTTTCATTTTACCAGGATGAACAGCAGAAAGCACAAATATCATCAGTGCTATGTCAATAGAAGCTTCAGGCACAAATGAACAAAGATTATCTTTGGTGACATCAGATTGGAAAGCTAGACATCGAGATAGTTCATAAAGCTTGTGAGCCTAGAAGTTTAAGACTTCATAAATACACCAAAAAAGTTTGTGACTCTTTTTTCTATTATATTTTACAAAAAAAACTCATAACTCACTTTTACATATTCAATTGCTCTTGAAGAAAAATCACAAGCATAAACAAAAATATTTTTGTTTTCTTCAATTAATGGAAAAATTGCATTTCCACAACCACAACCAACCTCTAACAATTTTTTGTCGTTTAGTTTCTAACGCAAATAAATTTTATTGAAGTATTTAAAAAATGCTTATTGTAACAGAAATAAATATTTAAATGCACTATAAATATATCATAAATTTATTTTAATAATTAAATGAATTTTATAATAATATATAATTAATTTAACCTGAGAAGTTATTTCATCAAACTCTCGTGTTGTCCAATGCCGATCTTTAAAGAACTTTGTTGAATTTCTTTTATAAAATAAATCCCAATTTTTTTGAGCATTTATTTCTAGTTGAATTTGTTTATAGTTTGATACAAGATTTTGATCACAAGCAAGTTTTTTTAATTCTACTTCGCTAAGGGTTTGATCATCTTTTGTTGAAAATCCATAAACCTCATTTTCAAAAATCATTTGTTAATTAAAATGTTGATCTTGTACTTTATTTTTATGATTATTAATAGCGATAGATTCAAATCACTTCAATGGATTTAAACTCTTTCAATGGATTCACCACTTCCATGGATTCAAACCACTTCAAACTTTCCTTTTCTTTCTTGTTCTTTTTATTAGTTTGAATTATTTTTAAACAATTATCATTTAAAAAGTAAAATTCCTAAATTAGGGTACTTGTTAATTTACTATATTGAAAACATTTTTTGGCAAGTACAATTTAATCTAATTACAAGTTGACACAAATTATAATTTTTTTATCATGAATATTAAACCATTGAGTTAAGTATAATTATATATTTTGGCTTTTAAAAACGCTTGTTTTTAATAATATATACAAGATACACCAAAGCAACTGGACCAGGGAACATTTAACAGATAATTATCTCTTTTATCTTTTCTTTTAAATATCTTAGAAATGTTACAAAAATAGTTAGAAACAAAGTAAACAAGGTAAAGGAAGCAATTATTAATTTTTTTCTTTTTTTTTTATTTTATTTTGGATCGCTTAAAACAGGCAGCCAATCTTAAATTTGATCTATGATGATATAATATTGTTGATATTTCTATATAGATGAATGGTAACACTCTTACTGAGCTCTCTCTACTTTACATCTTATCAGAATATCATTTACAAATACTACCATGGTTGCTGCTCAAGCAACTTTCATCACTTGTTCCATCAACAAAAACTCAATTTCACATGACTTTTTATTATGCTAAGTCACATCCTTTTACTGTAAATTTTTTTTTTAATAAAAATTTTTATTTATCTATCCTTTATCTACATAGGTGCTGTGGAACTTTTCTCATTTTTATGATTTATTGACTTATACAATTTACAGCTTTTTAAATCTTTCGCCAATTACTTTAATCCCTAATGGTGATAATGAAATTAAATTCTTAAAGTATTTAAGCAAATATAAAGTAAAGCAAGTGTTTACTGAGATCAGGGGATTATGTTAGAAAAATTGCATCAAATCATTCTTAGGCATTAACTATAAAAACAATGAAACACAAATAAAAAAGTTACTTATAAGAACATATGAATATGATGATTATGATAGTGCAAAAAGAGTGAATGATTGCAGATATCCACCAGAATTGGATGTAACTCTAGATGTAACCATTCTCTAAAGACTCACATAAATTGCAAAAACTTTATCAACATGTTGTTAAAAACAAGTTTTACATATAGCTTTTGCAGATTAAGGCATTCTTTTAAAATTTCTTTTTCAAAATATTTAATACTTATATATTAAAACATGTATCAAGTTTTACAGTTTTACTTTCACTTGAAAACTGTATTGCGGCAACATCTGCTTAATTTTAATCAAAAGCATTTATTTCCGTTAAAAAAACTATTAAATATAGTTTTAAAAATTTCTATTGTCAATGTGCAAGCGTGGTCGAATACAAAATACTTGTGAAGTTTTAAAGCGATTATATACAAATATATGTAACGATATTTAACAAACTTTAACAAACAAAAAGATTTTTAAAAAAGCTAAAAAAAATGATAAAAACATCAAAACACCGGGAGAAAAAGTATGTTACATAAGTGTCATGATCGAGATTCTTATGTTATTAATGTGCTCAGGTAATTAGTCCTAATAATCTGCGGATGGTCTGAAAAAAAAGTTGTCTGAAACTTAATAAAAAAAAAAAACTTTGTAAGACAGTCCTGCTACTCCAAAAGATGCTGCTGTGGAGGCAAAAAAAAAAAAAAAAAATTCTTTGGCTTAACTTTTAGATTAGCGTTTAATATTATTCTTTAGTTTTTAATCATAATAAAAGAATCAATGCTTTAGTGGTCTAAAATCGTTACGTACAAATGTCTGTAAGTGTAAATGTCTTTAGCATAAGTTGAGTTTGCAGGCATTATATAGAATAATAGCGTATAATAAAAAATCTTATAACCTATCTATAAAATAAAAAAACTTTAAAATTTTATTTTAAATTTTAGAAATCTTTTTTGCTATAGGCTATATTTGTTATATTTTCTATTATTATTATTTTTTTGCTATGAATTTATAACCAAGATTGAAAAATTTTCAAAATTTTTTACGATAAGGGGAAGTCTTAAACTCCCCAAAACAAAACTGGTTACAGTTACTTAACCACTGAGCTATCAATAAAATGCATTTAGAAGAAAAACAAACCTAATTATAAGTCTCTTATAAAGCTCTACGTATGCGAAAAAAGTAAACATTTTAATTTTTTTGCTCTTGAATGTTATTTATCAGAACAAATTATTTTACTAAAAAACATGGAAGTAAATATAGGAATATGTATATAAATAATCGGTGTGAAATAGATATGCATAGAAATGGTCGGTTTGGTAAAGACCCGTATTTAACGGATCCGGAAAGCTAGGATATATATTATATTTATATCATTTTATATCGAAGTTGTATACAGTTGTTTTTTGGATACTTAATTTGTATATTTTTGACTTTAAGCTTACAAAATTATATATTTGATATTTATAAATTGCGTATTTTAGACTTAATGCCTATAAAAAACTAAAATATTGTTTTTACCTAACTAAAATATTGTTACTTATTAACTAAAATATTGTATACCTAACTAAAATATTGTACCTAATATAATACCTAATATTGTACCTAATATAATTTGTACCTAATATAATATATTGTACCTAATTGGTACCTAATTGGTAAATAATATATTGTACCTAATTGGTAAATATATGGTACCTAATTGGTAAATAATATATTGTACCTAATTGGTACCTAATTGGTATAATATATTGTACCTAATTGGTAATATTGTACCTAATATAATATATTGTACCTAATATAATACCTAATATTGTACCTAATATAATACCTAACTAAAATATTGTTACTTGTTAACTAAAATATTGTTTTTAAGAAATAACTTATTACTTATTGCCTCCGCAAAGATTTTCGTACATCAAGTTTTATATAAGTTTTAATAACTTAATTTCAATGACACTTTAAAAAGTGTAAAAAATTCACCACTTCAACTCGTTTGCAGGAAAAATGAAATAAATATAAACAATTTTAATCTTATTAACTTTCTTTGAAACAATTTGTTTTTATTAAAAATTTAAAGATTAAAATATTTTATTTCTAGCAAAAAACGAAAAACATAACTAATAATAACTTTTTAAGTTTTATAACTCTATTAGTAAAAACTTTTTTGGATAAAGACATGTAAAATATTGCGTAAAAACTCATCAACTATCGAATACTAGACTTATTAATGACTACCGAATACGAGGGTTATTAATTATTAAGTGAGACACTTATCTGTTAGTAAAAAAAAAAAAATAATAAAACGTAAAGCGCACGATAGGAAATTCGAATTTTGAATCAATCTTTATTTAACAAAAAGAAAAAAAAAAAGAAAAAATATTAATCGAACATGAAAATAAACAGATCAAAAGTGATCAAGTTATTCAAGGAGTAGAAGATATTTTTATAACTTAAAATTTTTTTAAGTTTTCTTTAAGATGAAGAAAAAAGAACAAAGGTGTTTAAAGTTTTTTAAACTCATTCGCAACGCAGAGGTTCTTGCTCCATTCACAGATGCATTAATAGCCGATAGAAAACTTATCACACTTTTGAGTTTAATGGTTTATAAGCTTTCCATTATATATTCATTTTCATTAGCTTTCCATTATATATTTATTTTCATTAGTTTTCCATTATATATAATTCTAGTAATAAACGTATTAGTATACCTTCTGTGAAAAAGTTTTTTATAGTAAATGATGGAAAACTTTTACTCTGACTTTCAAAAATAAAAGATCTAGTAAGTTCATCTATTCGCTAATCAAATTCTTGTATACCAACAAATCTCTTGCATATCAACAAATCTCTCGCATATCAAGGCCATATAAAAAGAAAACCACTCTTGATCGATTTAAAAAAGAATCTAAACGGTTGTTCTTATTTATGGATCTCACTATGCTAGATTTTAAATGTTTTTTTTTAAATAAAGTAAAACTTTAATAAAAGATCATGATAACTTAACAAAAAAAACTATTTTAAAAGAATGTTATTATCACAACCCACAATAACAAAGTTTATTAATGATATTACTCTCTTAATATAAGTATATGTATATATATTTTTTCTTATTTATTATCTTATTTCATTTTATTACAAGTATTTATTCGTTGTTTTTTTTTGCAACTGCAGCTGCATTCTTTTTCCTTTTGCAACTGCAGATAATGTCAGCATTTTAGCAATTACTCCAATATAATATAATATTTATATATCACGATTTTATAAAAATGGGGCTCGGTGATAAGACAGAATTATGTCTTCTTCTTGCTCCAGCCATTATTTATTTTATTGTATATATATGAAAATTGTATTTATTGTAGAAGGCAATATATATATATATATATATATATATATATATATATATATATATATATATATATATATATATATATATATATATATATATATATATATATTAGGATGGGTCAAAAAAAATTTTTTTTCTTGTTACAGGCTCTAAACATTGCTAATAGTTATTAATATTAATACTATCAAATATGAAAATGATTGTGATAGATTTAAAGGGCGCAACTTTATTGGGAAAATTACCGGTACCCTAATATTTTTAAGAAAAAAAGTTTTTCAAAAGTAGGTACTCACCTAGTACCACCTCAAAAGAAGCAAAATTTTATAAAAAATTCGAAAATAATAATTGTTTTGTTAAAATCATAATGCTGAAAAAAATTGTTATTAAAAAACATGTAAAAATGCACCTTTTTCACTTTTAGTTAAAAAACTATAGTTATTATGCAATAAAATCTAAAATAATAATTTTTATATGAAAAAATTATTATTTTTGAAATTTTTATAAAATTTGAGTACCTACATCACATCATTTTGAAAAACTTTTTTTTTTTGAATAATAATAGGGCCTGCTAATTTTTGTAATTAAAGTTGCGGGTGGAAGACATTGTTCAATCCATAAAAGTAAATACTTTCCTACATTTAGTACATAAAAAAAACAACTTTCTAGCAATGTTTAGAGCCTGTAACAAGAAAAAAAAAATTTTATGACCCACCCTAATATATATATATATATATATATATATATATATATATATATATATATATATATATATATATATATATATATATATATATATATATATATATATATATATATATATATATATATATATATATATATATATATAAACAAAGGCCCGTAGCAACCAGGGGGCATTTGCCCCCCCCCCCCCGATAATTTTTCAAATAAGTAATTTTGAAGTTAGTTTTTTGAAAAAAGCTATGTAAAAATATAAATTCAGATAAAGATATAGTAAAGTGTTAACCTTTTAATATCAAAAAAAACTTTTTCATTAATAAAATTTTTTTAATATAAAAAGTTAACATCATAAACAAAAAAATATTTTTTTCATCTCCAAGAAAAATACTTTCAACAAGCAATGGTGAAATTAAAATTAGTTAAAAAAAGGCTATTTCTTTCGAGGGTTTATTTCTTTTATTGTTATTACCGACAATTATTATTATAATATTTTTGTTTGCTTGTTTATGTTCTTATTATTATATTAGCAAATTGTAGTTTTTACATATTTACTTTTTTATGAGTGCACTTTATGTCTATAAGCTTACTAATAGTTATATTTAAAAATTAGTCTCGTTTGTTCAGACTTCAAAGTTTATATTATAACAAAATGTCATACTTATAATTATTATGATAATTATTATATTATTAATATAAACACACACACTTTTTTATTTTATTTTTGTAAACGATTAAGAAAGGAACTAATAAATCATTAAGTAAAATACTTATCAATAGCTAAGTAAGAGAATAATCATCAATCATCAGATAAGAGGCTTATCAACCATCGGAAAAAGAAATTATGGACCATCAAGTAAAGTTTTTTTCTTCTACTATTAATTTGCAATATTCTCAGAGAATGGATAATAAATATTTATTATCCATTCTCTGAGAATATTGCAAATTATCTATTAATAGATGACTCTAAAAATAAAACAAATAACCATTTAGCATTTATTGATACAGTCTTAACAATTGTTGATACAAATAAAGAAATAATTTTTTATTTGTATTGATAACATTAAAATGTTTCTAGTTAAACATTTTCATAAAAAAATCACATTAAACATTTTTATAAAAAAAAATAAAGTAGCTTTATGTAAGTAAACAAAAAAATAGTATTAAGGTAATGATATGATGACGTAACTAATTGTATAAATATAACATAAATTAGAATAAACCTTCCTTCTCACATATTAAATTTAATGATATAGTTTTTTGCTTTATCAATGAAAAATTGTCAAAAACTTTTTGTTAGTTTTTTTTTTATTTTTTATTAAAAAAAAAAAATATTTTTAAATTTGATTATATTAGAAATATCTGAATAACAAAATTTGTTATTTAAATGATATATAGTAATATATTAACATTTAATGTATTCATTATTTAAACTGTTCTCAGAATAAAATGCCAAAACAAAATGCCAAAAGAAATTATTAATCCCCAAAAACAAGACATTATTACAATATCTTACTAAATTTCTATCTGGCGCTGACTTGGTTTTTTGCCTGAATGTTATAGAATATTTTTTTCCACATTTCAAAAATGGATATATTCTTAACATCTGCAAAATAAATCTCATTTAAAATTTGCAAAATCAACTCATTTCTTGTAGTATTAGTCTGGGTTAGTTTATTGATGGTTTTACAAAACCATCAATAAACTAACCCAGACTAATACTACGAACCAACCCCAGACTACTACTACAGACCAGTCCCAGTACTACTACAGACCAGTCCCAGACTAATTTTTTAATTGTTGAAAAACCTAACACACAGCGCTAAGATATTGAAGTAACGAGTTTTATACGCATTAACAACTGTTCATATATTTTTCTAAGAAAATAAAAAAGGATCTAGATTTAAGCAGATAAGTCTTTAATCATCCTTTTTAACATCCTTAAGACGTTCTTAAGACGTCCTTAAGACGTATTCTGTGCACGCTGTGTTACTATGAATTCTTACTTCAAAAGCAGTTGTCAAAAAAACTTTAAATTATATTTTTTGAGCCAACCAACAGCCATTAAAGTGTATGTAAATGTACACTTAAAGTTTTAACTTAATTTAAAGAGAATTTTTTTTTAATTTCTATTGCTATTGTTTTTATTATGTATTTTGCCGATAAGAAAATTTAACAAAAATAACTAATACAAATATATTGCTGGTACAAAAAGTAGACTCAGTCTTATCGCGATATGAATCTAAAATAAAAGTATTAATATAAAAAATACAAAAACAACGTACTTCCGTTTTTTCATGGGAACGTAGAAAAATGATGAGTGGAAACTTCCTTAAATTAAAAAACTTTACATTAGATTACAGTGTAATATACCAAAAAAATGTAAATATAGATACTAATGCAAAAAGCTTTTAAAATTTTGAGTTTAAAATAATTAAAAAGCAAAAATTTGCAGTGGACCTAATTAAGCATTTTGAGTAGTTTATTGGAGTTTTGCTCACCAATTTCTTAGTGGACCAATAGAGGCATCCGCTACAAGTGGACAGCCGATAACTTTCCAACATGTGATAAGCTTTTAAATTATATATGATTTGCCGATGACTTTCCAACATGAGATACAGCCTCTAAAAGTGGGTTGCCATCGACTAGCCACTTTCAGAGGCTGCCTCTAATAGTGCACTAAATAACCGATGAGCAAAACTACAACGGACTCCTCAAAAAGTTTGTTGTAGTTTAGCATATCGGTTGATGCCTATCCCAGCAGGCATCAACCGATAAGCGTTCTGTGCCCGCTCGGAAATAGGTCCACTAAAATTCCGCTATGGAATGTTGGATAGCATTATGAAAATTAGTTTAGTATTATAACATATTTATTCTATAGAATAAAATTTATCTGCAAAACACAATGTATATAAATAATATACAAATCAAATAACAATATATAATAAAAATATAAAAATAAATTAAAAAAAAAAAATACACGTGGTTTCTCCTAAATAAAAGCTTTAGTAAAAATTTAATTTGTTATTATTTATTAAAATTTTGATTTAATTTTATTTTTAAACTAAAGAAAGAATAATTCTATAGTTTCAATTGTATTCAATTACTTATTCCAAAGTTTCAATTGAATTCAATTCCGTATTCCATAGTTTCAATTGTATTCAGTTGCGTATTCCATAGTTTCAATTGTATTCAAATGCATATTCCATAGTTTCAATTGTATTAAATTGCGTATTCCATAGTTTCATTTGTATTCAATTGTGTACTCCATAGTTTAGGATTACCATATTTAGTCGTAGAATATGTTTTAGTCTAAATCTAATTAATAGCTGAAAATCGTGTTGGGTATCGTTGATTTATTATTTCGAAAAATGAGTTTAAACTCATTTTTGGAAATAATAGTTTCTGGAAATAATAGTAATTTCATTAGTGGAAAGAATAGTTTTTGGAAATAATAGTTAGTTGATTTATTATTTCCAAAACTGAGTTTAAACTCATTTTTTTTTTGTTTGAAATTTTTTATGTTTAAAGTTGATAAAAAAATCTTGTTAATAAGATTTTTTTAATGACTTTATTACTTTAAACATAAAAAATTTCAAACATTAAAACTAGAACTAATACAAAAGATGATGCTTCCTGTGAGTCCTCCTGTGTGTCCTGTGATTTTTGAAAATCGTCTCATTTCTTTCGATACTAAGAAATTTTTTTATCTAAAAATGATATCGTTTTTTAATTGACTTTAATAATTTTGCTGATATTTTTTTTAAGGATATTCCTCAGGGCCGTAGGAACAAAAATTGTATGGGGGTGGGGCAATACTACCCTGAAATAGTTTTAAGGATCTTTTTTTTATTTATTTATTTTTTAGTCATTTTTTCAGTCAATTTCTTCAAAATTATTTATTTGAAAAATTATTATTATTTTTTTTTTTGGGGGGAGGGGGAGCAAATGCCCCCCGTTTGCTACGGCCTGTCCCTCTTAACACTATATACATACTTTAAAATAACATTTGGTTTTATTTACGTCACTGTAAATACTACGTCTAAATAAATGCGTCGCGTGTTGACAAATTAAAGCCATGTGTCACGCAACTAATTTGAGAGAATAAACAAAAATTATAAAAAATATATAGTTTTTTATTTAAAAAAACAAACAAAATTTTTCATTGGTATTATAAATTTTTTAATAATTTTTATTGTTCTTTTCGATATCGTTGAAAAACGCGCTAACGTACAATAAGAAATAGCCGTGAACGCCTATAATAACATATTTGTGTTAAAGAATAACACATACCAATCAAAGAAAAAAATGTTTACGTGAGATCACGTGGGTTTGTGTGCGGTCTCTTGAGAGAAAAGTCATCTTGTTTTATAAATATTAAAATATCTGATAATACCTATAAAATCAGGTTTTGGAAACTATAATACTGTACTAAAATAAACAATTTCAAGCGAAATAAAATGCCAAAAAAAAAGCTACTAATAAAAAAAAATAATTTAGAAAAACGTAAACTTATGAAAAGAATAATAGAGTACCAACTTATCGGCAAGTATAATAAAGGAGTGATAACGTTTCAACTTATCGACGAGTGTTTACGTAAACTTCTCGTAACTATTTTTAATAGATTTATTTTTTTAGCTGCTAAGTTTCAATTGCATAACAAAAATATCCGCCAAATAATGTTTCACTCAAAAATATTTTTTGAATTTTAGATAGATTGGTAATATATTTTTAGAGTTATCTCAAAGAAATTATAGCAGAGAGTTTTTTTTATCGGTCTGTTATCTACCATAAGACGTTATCTACCGTAGCCGCTGTTTTATTAATACACTGTTGAAACTGGATATTTATGCGAAAAAATTTGATGTATGCAAATCTATTTAGCTTAAGGTTTTACTTAAGGTTTTACCCATCATTTGATATTCTTGAAATGTTTATTTAAAAACTGTTACGGACAACATTTGCTTCCATATTTTTAGGGTTTGTTCAATAAATGTTTCTTTCTTCCATAATATTTCTTAAAGTAATTATACTTTTTCATAAATATCAGGTACTTATTGATATACATTATGTTATTTAATAAATTTAATAGGTTGATTGAAAGATTTTAGTTTACATAAGTTGTTTATTAAGTTTTATGAGTTTTTAAAAAAAATTTTTTTTTTTTTCAGTTTAATTTTAATTTTTCTACACATTCTTTATTTAGCAAATGTTTTTAATGAAATGAAATTATTAAAAAAAAAAATTTTTAACTTTGAAAACAAACACGAAAAGAACAAAGAAAAAAATCAGACAAACAACAAGCAATTTTTAGAAAATCGTGACGTTTGGCAAAGGCAACTTTATAACGAATACGTATCATCGGACAGCAGCGACAGCGAGAGCCCTTCAGATATTCGAATATCAACTCAAAATCAACGCAAAGCCGACATTCGTGGAAAAATAGTTTTTGATTTTGAACTAAGTAAGCAATCGTGTTACCAAAACCAAGTAAACCCGCCGCATAAAACTTGTTACCATCACAAAGTAGAAAGTTATCCGAATACGGCCGTTGCTTATGCAAAGACTGGTCATGCAACTATAAAAAAAACACAGTCCTTTAATCAAAACGACCAAAATATTAAAAATTCTTATGAAGAGTATACTTCAAATAAAAAATGTTTTAACGATAACTTATTTAGTCAAAAGATAGTAAAAGGAGAGAACACGGCAAAATTATCCGAAGATCAATTATCGTTTAAACTTGTATGTTATGACTTTAAAGCAATAGAGGAAAGCGACTTAACTGTTCACATTGGGCAATGGGTGCGCGTAATAGATAAATCAGACTCAGATTGGTGGTTGGTTAGAAGTAGTGCTGGAGATGAGGGTTATGTACCTAGTAACTTTCTTATAGATGTACCCATACTACCAAATAGAAAATTATTTTCTGAACCAAAGGTAAATGTTACAGGACCAAATATCTCTACTTCAACTAATGAAATAAATAATTCTGCTTTTGTCTTTAAAAAATGTACGCCAAAAGTAGCAACTATAGTTCCTAGGACAATGACTTCAGACGCTTATACACCGCCTAAAGTCCAAGCAGCGAACAACATAGATTTACATAAAAACACAATTGAAAAAGATTTGATTATAAATCAATTGAAAAAGGAGTATAGAGGATTTATTAAAAGTAATTCAGATATTTCGCAACTTCAAAATTCCAACGAATATGAAACCAGAGTTTCTTCCTTGTTCTCTGTAACAAAGCCAGAATGGAGGCGGTCTTTTTCTGGAAACCAAAAAAAGGTTAGGTTTTTAGATTCTAACATTGATTTTGATAAGTGTTCTTTCAACAACAACTACAGAGAACTTGTGGAATGTGCCACATGGTGCTAAATTATTTCTGTAAATATCGCATGTAATGTGTAAATATGCTTTATTGTTCATATATAATTTATGTAAATAAAGCTTAAATTGTATTGTAGCAAATTTAAATAAAATATTTGTTTGGTTTAATAAACTTTTTTAATTGTTTATTTTATAACCTTATAACCTTAATAGAAAGAGAATAATTTAAAGTTTGATCAAGAAACTTTTCCTTGATAATGTTTCACGACTGTTTAGTAAGAATCAATTTTTTTTCTTTAATAATGTTTTAGGATTGTAGAGAAGAAATCGATCAAAATTAGAGAAACTTTTTCTTGATAATGATTTAGGACTGTTAAGGAGAAATCAATCAAAATTAAAGAAACTGTTTTTTGATAATATTTTAGGACTGTTGAGGGGCATCTGATCAAAACACAAGTTATAATTTTTTATTACAACGTTTCTGATTTTTTATATAACCACAATGGCGTTGTATAAATATCTTTGTGAAAAGGGGGTAATAAAGTCTTTATTTTATTCTCTTTTAATAATCTTTTATACTATTCTATATTTATCCAAGGTTAACTTTTTTTAAATAATACCATTTTAACTATAATTGGACTTCAGAAGCGAATTTAGTTGGATTGAAAAACTAATCAAATGAGTGATATTTTTAGATTGAGTTTCATTGAATTTAGAAATTAATTGAGTAGTACTAATTAGTAGAAATTTCATTGTATTCAGAAACAATTCAGTCATATTTTTGGATTGAAATTCATTGGATTTAGAAACTAATCAATTGAATGATTGAAACAAGAAGATCAATTGTCTCACTGAAACAAGTAGATCAATTGTAAAATATTATAACTATTTTAAATTCCAGCTCAGGCTATAGGCTACATTGACGAGGTATAGAATCAATATAGAAAAACCTATTCCGACGTTTGAAGCTTTGTGTAAACTGATGAACAGATAATAAGTCGTTGTTTTAAATAATTGCACTGTGTAAAAAACAAGTATATATTTATAATTTATTATAAGTTCGTAAGCTAATACGCGGTCTAGTGGATGTACTGTAATAGCTACTGCAACCGGCGACGAGAGATCGATTCCTCTCAAGCGATAATGTTTTTGCGTGAACCTTTATGTCGACTGACTTAAACAGGTATAACACGCAGGGAGTGTACATACATTGACTAAGGGTTTTGGTTTGGGCAAGCAATAAGTTAAAAACAGTTTGTGTTAAAAAGTGTTTTAAAAATCAAGGGAAACACATATTTTGTTATATTCCGGTCAACAATTTACACAAAATTTCAAACGTTAGAATAGGTTTTTGGTTCTATCATCTACCTACTTTTTCATTAAATGCTATTCCGAGGTCTTTAAGGTTAGTATTAGGAAATAAATTTAAATCAGAATATATTTCTTGCCTAGATATCTTATTGCTATTATTTTAAAAATAAGTTCTTAACGTAAGTTTTCGTTAGAATTGTTTACCTAAAAGTAAACAATACTAACGCAATTTTGTTTATTATATTAATTCTTGTAATTAATTGTTTATTGCAATATTGTTTAAAATATAATTAAACTGGAATATGTTCTAATTATAGATACTATGTTAAGTATTAAGATTTCAACACTCTTACAATATTGGGTAAAATTGGGTGAATTATTTTTAAAATCATTACGAACCAATATTATGATTAAACTGGCGTCAATAATGTTAAAATTTAAAGGTTAAAGTTAAGAACAGATAAAAAATAAAAAAATTAAAAATTAAAACTGATTTACTAAAAGAAACTATTGGTAAAACCACATTACCCAGATTATATTAAAAGACACACTTTGTAAAAGGTGCATTTTGTAAAAGATGAATCCTTAGTTGCAATTTTTGCACACCATTTAATAAACTTAAAATACTCAGCGTATTCTGACTTTTATTATATTATTTTGTTTATATTCAAAGTTTATAACAAAAATGATGTCTATTTTTTTCAACTCATTTTTTTTTTTAAATAAATCATAAATACAATTTACAAGGTTCTCAAAAAGAGCAGCCGTGGCGCAGTTTGAGCAGCCGTGGCACAGTGGTTGTGCACTTGCCTCAAAAACAAATGATACGTTGTTCAAACCCCACCTCTGAGCAAGTTTTGCGACATCGGTTAGGAAGGATGCGTGAACTCCCAATTAAATGCTCATCTAACACATTTTAGAGCATGCAGGAAGAGATGCAGTAAAAAAATGAGACTTTGCTGAATGACGAGTCAAGCAAGAATGAGTTTTAATTGATGGAACAAGATATGATAGCTCTTTTGAGCAGCAACCTTTACGGTATTTTATGACGATGGGAAAGAGGTTGAAGATTAACAAATAGAGCGGATCCAACCACGTTTATAATGCATTTTTTGACCCTGTCTGTATGAGAAAGAGACTCATTAGAAGAACCAGCCCAAATTTGGCATCAGTATTCCATACAGGGAAAAATAACATATTTGTAGAAGAAGAGAATGGGATCAGTAGAGAGAAAATGGCGAAAACGATAAAGAGAAGCAACCTTAGCGGATGCTAATCTAGAAATCGACTGTACAAATGGTTTCCATGAAAAGTTAGTAGTAAGCAATAATCCAATAAGACGTAAAGAAGAGGACTCGGGAAGATCATTAATTTAGATAAGAAACAAAACAAAACCAAGGATAGAACCTGGAGGTAGCCCAGAAGTTACTGGAAAAAACAAGATGAGATGGGTGGGAGATGGTCTACACTTTTAGTATATGAATTTATAATATAAATTAGTTTCATCTTTTATCTTAAGAAAAATTCTTATAAATTTTCATTATGATTTTTTATCTCTGTCTAGAAGTTTAAACAACATTCAGTCCACAACTAATTTACTACAGTGTAAAAGTTTAAATAAAGTGTTGACCGACTTTAGCTTCTGAAAGTTATTTATATTATGAAACATAAATACATTTAGTATGAGCTGAAAGTACATTCCGGTTTTATTAAAAAATACTCAACCAATTTGTCTTATTTAAACCAATTTGTCTCATTTAAAGTCATTATAATGAATCAAAGAACTAATATTCTTTTAATCATAATATTTTTATTTTCCTTTTTTGTACTTTTTGTCAACAAATATTTCTGAAGTTTTTTTTATCTTATAACTACTTTGTGTTTGTAAAGTGAGTAAATAGGATAGTAAATTAGTAAAAAGGATAGCAAACAAATAGGGTAAACTATCAAACCAAAGGTAAACATATATTATCAAACCAATTAAGGTAAACATATGTTATCGAACTAAATAAAAATAATTTTTTTAATCTAAATATCACATGTTTCCTCAGCAATTTTTCTTAGTTTTTTCTCCTAAAGCTGTCGACAGATACCCGGGCATCTGGGTATCTATCCGTTGGTAATTGCTCAGATTGCATTATCAAATAACGGTTACCCGTCAATTGATTAGTTCAAAATTCATTTCATTTATTATTAAAGGTTCAAATCTTTATTTTTAGTATAACAGCTTTAACAATATAAGCTTAGAAGATCTTGGAGAACTTTTTAAAAATTTCAATAGATTTCTTTGTCAACATCAGAAAATCTGAAAACATTAAAATAATGATACTTTTTTTTATTTCTTAATGATTATAATAATTATTCCTATGAACAATTTTTTCTTTACTTAACTAAGAGTTTCAAGTTTGTTTGTTAATTTTGTCAAGATAGAAAATATAACTTTCTTTATTTAGTGCACAAGTTAATGCACATACCTGCAACTCCAGAGCTATCAGAATAGCCTTCCTCTATTGCTGGGCAATTGACGGTCTGCATCTTTGATAGCCTTGACAGCTAAAATAAAATATAAGCTAAAATAAAAAACTTTAAATAAATGACATTATTGAATGAAAATTTTTTAATGACTTTTTAATAATATATAATATACAATACTGTTGAGATTTAACGCTATGTTAAATCTTTTACAGACACAACAAGAAAGTTAAAGATAGTCAATTAAGTCTAGTTTAGCTTTAAATAAGTTCAGATTTTTAACTTCCACTGTTTCAATTGGTAAATTGTTCCAGAACTTGACTGCGCGATTTGCAAAAAAATCTTCACGATTTCGATTTAAATATTTCTTATCAGTGAATAAATGATGTTTATTACCTCGAATGTTTGAACACGGACCAGAAGAATTTAAAGAGTACGAATGTTGAGGGGGTATTTTCCGATTTATTTTCTCTATATCATTATACCATATGTACATTTGTATGAGATCTCCTCGTATTCTTCGTTGTTTTAATGATGTTAATTTCACTTTTTCTAGTCATTCACTGTATGATAAATGACGTAGCTCAGGTACAGATTTCGTTACTCGTTTTTGAATTATTTCTAATAAATTTATATCTTTTTCAAGATACGGACTCCATACCTGTATTGCAAATTCTAAATGCGGCCGTATATAACTAGAATACAACAATTTTATTAGTTCACTATTTTTATACTTAAATGATTTGTATATTACACCAAATTTATAGTTTGCAATAGATGATGCAATTTTTATTTGTGTTTCCCATTTTAAGTCATTCGAGATTAATATGCCTAGATCTTTCTCCAATTTAGTTGCAGTTAATTCTTGCTTTATATTACTGTTAGTCATCAAGTATTTATAATTTTTATTTTTGTTACCAATATGCATGATTTTACATTTTTCAAAAATGAATTGCATTTTCCAGTTTATTACCCATTTTTCTAACATAGAAATGTCATTTTGTAAAGCATGTGCATCCGTTTCATTATTAACTTCAGCTATTATTTTAAAATCATCTGCATACAGCTATTACTTTACAATCATCTGCATACAGCAACAATTGGTTTGTAAGTTGGCTTAGAAGATCATTGATGTATATTAAAAATAAAATTGGACCAAGCACAGAACCTTGTGGTACACCGCTTACTATGTCTACCCATGATGATACACTTTCTCCAAGTACAACTCTTTGCTTCCTATCAGTTAAAAAAGAAATTATCCACTTCAATGACGTAGATGTAATGCCATATCCCAAGTTTTAGAGCTAATCTCCTATGTGAAACTTTGTCAAAGACTTTTTTGAAATCAGTATATAGTATATCAAACGATTTACCATTTGCAACAC